TCTCCCTTTTTAACATTTCCCAGACAGGCCACCAGCATAACCCTTAGACGACCAGCACAAACATGAAACACATTAGAGCGGTTACATTTACCTCAATCAGAACAGACATCCAAACTGTTTGCCACAATAGTGTTGACTGTAGTTCTGTAATCTGAAGATTGGTTTTATGTTCAGCACAAGAATAGCTTGTATATATATATTAAAAAATTGAAGTTTTATTTTCATTACATTTTCATCATTAAAGCTGCAGTCCGTAATTTTTTTGGTTAAAAATTAAATCAATATTTGAGCAAGTACATAACCAACCAGTGTTCAAAACTATCGCCTTACTTTAGCCCGATTCACAACGGTTAGCTTATAATAATATTTTCTAATTTGAGTGGTACGGGTAGGTTTTCGCAGGAAATTCGAGCATGGTACTGCATCATTACGTCACGTCTGTAAACATGAAGAAGTTGTCCCGGCTAGTAGCTATATCGCATGTGAGGGTCCTGCAGGTGGCGGATCGTTTATAGCCTTTTCTCACAGCAGCTGGAATAATTAAATGTATCATTTTGATGGCGGAGACGTGGCAGGCTTGTTACTTACTTGTTCAGATGGCAATATACAGGGAAAATTCTTATTTGGGTGTCATATTCCAAGATGTAGGCTAGAATCTGTGATTGCGAAGTACAGTAAATATCCACACCGGTGCGGTGACTGACTGCCACACACACATACTCCTCAAAACATTAGATTCATCCGCGCTGGAGCCGTGCCGCCGCACAACCCACGCAAGGAAAATAATTCCTCACACAGCTGCAATTACAGGTTTTCAAACCGAGATGGCGACAAAGAGGCAAAACTTACGGACTGCAGCAATTTAAGTAATTCACCGGTTAGTAAAGGATCTTCAGAAACACCACATCACCTAAGAGAGAGAGAATTTCTGATGTTTTTTGAGCCGGCAAAAAGTGCAACTGGCGAGAGCCACTGACATTTATTTTAAAGGTGGTGTATGTATTTTTTCAAAAACGCTTTAGAAAACTGAGTCGGGCTGATTACCAAAACAAACTTGTAGCCAATCAGCAGTAAGGGGCGTATCTACTCATGATGCAGAGGAGAGAGCGCTCAGTGCACAGGATGGACATTAGCCGAGCCGAGCGACAACAGAAAGATAAGAGTTGGCGGATAAAAAACAAAAGAGGAAAACGTCTGCGGAACAAAAAACGCTTACGATAAGGCAAGTAGTAGGACCCGTGTAAATATCGGATCAGCTTTCCAGCGCTGGAGAGAACTCAAGGAGCGGAAGGCCTGCAATCGGACGCCGAGGTTGCTTTGTTTCTTCTCGATAGGTGAGTAACATCGTGTCTACACCAACAGCTAAAGTCTGTCTGCACTGGACGTGACAAAGCGACTGTTGAAAATCATTTGAAATTTGTGTCAATACATCATAAATAGAACGCAGCAGCAGTTTTCTGTCAGGGATTTGTCGTGTCGCACCGCGCAGCATCCAGTGTAGACAGCAAAAAGGAGGGTGCAAAATTAATCTAAGCCTCAAATGTGAGTAAATAAGCCCATTATTTCATCCAGTTTTTTATAAACATTATGTATAAGACAGTTTCATGATTGGTGGGAAAAAAAGAATGGCTCAATTTGATGTGGCCAATTTAGACCCTGAATATGCATTGTTGTTTGTGACAACTTTTAATTAAACTTTCATTATAAAGAAATAGGAAACATTTCCAGCTTTGCAGAATTTCTGACTTTGCCCTGGACATGGCAATAATGCGCTTTCTTTAATGTCTTTCTCCTCTTTAAAGTGAAAAGTCTGTGATCAGCCAGAGTCAGGGACACACAAGTGGTGCTTTAAAAGGACCCCTAAGTTTTCATGGGGCTCTTGCCATCAAAGAATCTCACAATTGCCCAGAAATTCTTGACATTTTTTCTCTCAAAGAAAAGGGTTAAATGCCTGGATCCTACCAAGAGCTGTGTTATACAAATTGCAATCTCATTGTTTTTAAGAAAACGCGTGTGACATTTAAAAGTCTCCATTGTCCTGTTCCATGGCATTCTTTTTTTTTCTTTTCCTCTTTGCTGGTGGTGATTTCGACTGTGGGCTAAATTGGCTGACATGCAGATGGCGCAATGTGATTTCTGTTTGTTTTAGGCCCTGAAAACCTCAGCAGGGCTCTTTATGTACCTGTCTCACATCCTTTCAGGGCACTGACTGTTTCCCATAGCTTCCCTGTGCCAGTTTACCCTCTACACTTAACCTTACAAGAGCGTTAGCTCAAAATGACCTTTTCCTGTGGATCTAACACCCAAAGAAATGTCCTCAGCATTGCCCTTTTTCAAAATCCATCAATTCATTAAAGTTCCCTTTCATAAAGTGTGTGTGTGGCCCAAATGGTCAAACAGAGACGGAGGACTGTTATGGCCCTGAGACCATAACTCACAACTAATTACGAATACATGCCATTCTTTATAGTGCAGAATAGGGATTTTAAAAACTCCCAAGCAATATCAGAACATAAAAAGGGAGGACCTTTAATTGCAACTGTCTTTAGGGCTGTTGGAAAGTATGTTCGTTTTTTACAAATATGAAGATTTAACCGTTATTTAAATAGTCGGTGGTCCTTTGGCAACAAGGCAGTTTAAAAGCTTTTTTTTTTAACTTCTGTAGACTACAAACATAGACTATAAATATATTTTGTATAAAGCCGCAATTGCAGAAGACCATAGATATGCAGTGTACATAATTCTTTTTTCTTTTTATAATTTCATGTGAGTATATATATTTATTATAAATACATTTTAATTTTTTAATTATAAACTATATATATATATATATATATATATATATATATATTCAT